TAAAGTTGAGGTAGATGTTTGATCGCCATTCCATGCTTTGTTCTGTGATGATGATGCGTAGAGTTGCGATTTGGTCAGTACATGATTTGCATTTCCTGAATCCAGCTTGTTCTGGTCGGAGTTCTGTCTCCAGTGCGTCCTTTAATCTCTACAGGATGATGCGACTCAGGATTTTACTTGGCGTCGATTGGAGCATGATTCCTCTCCAGTTCTTGCAGAATGAGGCGTAAGTCGCCCTTCTGTGGTAGTTTCACGAGGTAACCATTCCTCCAGTCAGTAGGCACCTTTCCCTCCTCCAGACTTTTTGCAATAATGGAGTCAGCATGTCTGCTGTAGTCTCTGGGTCCGCTTTCAGTACTTCAGGGGGGTATTCCATCTGGTCCAGATGCTTTTCCAGCTTTCAGGAGCTTGATTACATTCAAGACTTCAGCTGTGGTTGGAGGATTGGTGTCAACTTGCAGTTGTGTGCGCGCTGTTGTTGGTATTTCTGGACGGTTTGCAGGTGATTTCGTATAAGGTTAAGTGTATTGAAAAGTAGTGCATTACCATTATTTCACTTGAAGCGTGACGTCAGTCCATATGATTATGTATGTTAACTGACAGTGTAAGGTGAAGTGTACATGAGACGAATAATTGAATAGGTTGAGCTGTAGCAATCGTAGCAATATTTCGCTTACACTGAATTACGCCACTAATTACATTTTTCAGGTCCCATTGATAAGTCAGGCCTCCATCTCCTCATGATGACGAATTTAGAATAAGTAAAGTATGGTAAGCAGGATGTTAAATATATTTGATGAAAAATAATAACAAGGAAATGTCTTTACGCAGTTGTTTGTCGTAATTGTCCCGGCGACGTAGAATTTCTGTGACCAGGTTGACTGACGTTACCGGATATCTGCAAATAAGTGAATAAAGTGTATTTTTTAAATCACTGAAGTTAGAAAGAAGTAATATAAAAGTTAAACGCTTTATATTTGCCTACCTTTGTTGAAAAAGGTTCATTCTCCTTTTTCACTCTTCGGTAATGACATCATTCTTCTGTGGCTTTCACTGTCATACACATTTTTCATGCAAAGTATAGCACCAAGCAAATAACATATGTCGCATAAACGGGTGTTTAGAAAGAATGCATGTCATTTCTACAGGCGCAATAATTTATGTTATAAACTGCAATCGTGAAGTATCGTAAATTAATACTTTTTCAAAAGCTTAAGTCGTTCATTTATGGTACGAGTAGTTAAAACAGGTTATGATAAGTGTTAGACTGTAAACCCTTCACAATGAACACAGTATATTTGGGTAATTGCTATGCCCTCACGTTATTAAAATATATTTCAGGAGAAGAATAACGTGCTGAGAAACTGCAAAATGGCATAAAATACAATTATCGATGGTGCGTCATTGAATGTCCATCTACAAGATATTTACGGCAATTGGCTATAGAGTCTTCGGAATGCTAACCATATCGGTGTAAGCATGGAAACTATGACGTTTTCGATGAAAATACAGCTTTATTCAAACACTGGTGTTGTAGTATTTCTACTCAAAGCAACCAGACTTTAAGCGAGCAACTAATAGGCACAAAGAGTAAGTCTCAGCTTTAATAAAGGCCTATCCAATTAAGATAAAATGGAGTGCATCTTCCATATCCTTCGTAGCCACAAGTAACTTATTAAGGACCTCAAAATATCTGTGATATGGAAATGAATGATTTTTAAGACTGATATAACTTATGTAACAGGTGTTTTAGTTGTAGGACACAGCTGCTAGCTACTATTCGACAGAAAGCTGATACTAATTTTAAGTAGTCTGACATTTTTAAAGGGACCATCTATACTATTCTTCGTATCCCAATGCACACTGATATTAACATAATCTGATGCCATGTTATCCACTGAGCAATTACGGTCTCTCGAAATTCCCTGTGACAAATTGAATTAAACTAGTATCACGTCTTCGCCTGAGGCATTTTAGTTGGGAGCTTCATCAAAATGGATATGACCAGCAGGAAATTCAGCAGCCTGTTCCATTCATCGCATTATCTCGCCGATGTGTTATGGAATGTTTCAGTCATCGCGGATGATAACAGAAGTGTTTAACATCATCAAAACATACATCTAACTTATGTCTGTGGGCTATTTCTCTCTCAAATGGGCGGTTCTAATAGAATAACTGGGATGACGACAACCATTGCGTGTAGTCAATTTACGACCTTGAGATCTAAAACAACTCGCAAAAAAGGCCTTAAGGCTCTAAAAGGTAAGTAACAGTCTTTCTATGCAAACATTCTGAAAAGGGATGACTTTCTTAGTAATAGTTCGTCTGGGCTATCGAGACAATTTTACGCATTACTACGAACAAAATACAGCAAAATATTGCTTTTTTCGCTTACAGAAGCCTAAAACTAGTCAAATACAATCTATTTTAACAAAACTGAGCGATTATAACGCCTCTATAGGCTTGAACGCAATAACCCATACACTGCGCGAAGACATATCGTGGCGACGTTCAGCCTCACCCGACCATATCGGCCAAATGAAACGCAACACTCAGTTGTTACGCGCATTTTCGACAAATTGAAACAATAATGGTGCCTAGGATTATATCATATAAATTGTTTTAATTTATGCGAAGTGTGTTTACTATCATTATTCCATTATCCTCCCTTGTATATATATATATCTTGTGTCAGTGAAAAATTTTAAACATGCTTACTCCATGTGTACATTATTATCATATTGATGATGCCTGTCAAATGTCATGTGCATTAAAAGACAATGTATTATTATAAGATTCATTCTATTGTTATATTAGGGAATTGACTTCAAGCTTTATTTATTTTCCCAAGCATCTGTAATCCATCCAACGAACACTTGGTTTCTTTTTGCTAATGCGAAGCCAATATCTCTATATCTCTTGATGTGGTCCTGTGAATCACTAGTTGTCAGATTTCTCCCACAAAATAAAGAGAAAATGACAGCAACTGTAGATCATGTAATTTAAATAATACTTATGCATGCCTATACAACTGGTGTATTCTACATAGCTAGGAAAAAATATGTAGCTTATTATATTATCTTTACTAACTATGCTTACTAATCGTATGTGTAATTTATTGAATTGATGATGCCTGTAAACTGGCGTCACTCATGTACAAAAATGAGAATATATATTATTATAAGACTGTTAACTTACCCTATCATCCCACTGTATTTTTTCCTTTACGTTCCCGGTGGAACATAGGGCCTCGAGCTAGTGGCTTAGAGTTTCTGTAGCAGTGTTTATTTTACAGGATGTGGGCTGCTAGCCTCATGCATAACCTTGATTCTTTACCAGCAATATTTCTGGCTCAGCGAGGTAAAAGAGTGCGTCGGGGGGGGATCGAACCTCAGACCATATGCATGGTTGGCGAGCGTCCTAACAACTATGCCCCTGACGCACATCCTATTGTATGGTTTTGTGTGATTACATGGAGCACTTGCGTTAGCTGAACTATTCTCTGGATTTCTAATGTTATTCGGGTCAACTAATCTAAAATTTTGCTAGTTTTCTATGCTGTGCTAGTCTGACTGCTCCTGTTCTACTACTTTTACTTATGTATTCGACCTGACAAACATTTCAGGGTATAAGATGAACCCAATTGTGTAAATTGACTCTACAGGTTGCTTCAACTGACAAAGCTTGTTTCTAATTGAGTTTGGGAGTTTGAACGCCACTTTTATCCCCTCCTTGTTTCCGAGTTTCCTTCCTCGTATGGAAATACTACTGGTGATTTAATTACTGATGTCGTCATTAACCTGCTCATGTTTGCATGACTCAATCAATATTACTATTAAAACTATCACCACTATCATTATTTATTTTATTTTCACATTTCCCTACACACTTTCTGAACTATTTATCTTGGTAACAATTAAGATTCTAAGGTTCTCTTATATGCCTAACTTCTTGTATTTTCTTAGATTTTCCATGGTGCTATTTAGTTTTAGTGCCATATAGCTTAAACAACTCAACAATCCTATTTTTACTGACACAGGATAGGATGAAAGGAAATCCAAATATCTGTTTGAATGTGCGGGTTTCCTGTAAATACTTTTGTTTAACTTTCCATCCTTCCTTCTTGCGCTACAGTCTAGCCTTGGAAGCTCCCCTTCCTGACTTACCAATTCATAAGTGGTTTGAATTGCTTTTACCTCTGAGTTAATGCGTTCGAAAATCTGCAGACATCCTGAGTTCTAAGAACAGTAAGTGTGTCATCTACATACCCTCGCCATACTTTTGGAGTGGGGCTGAACGTTTCATTCGCTAACTTTTCCCACATATCCATGAATATATCTGCCACAACCAGGGATATTGGTGACCCCATGTTTATGGCTGTGATAAATGAAAATGAATGATGGTCTAGACCAGCAATTTGTGCAGGGGGACTTAGGCCACTGGCTAAAAACTACGGTGTCTAATATACTGATAAAGAATCTCTCCAGCTTATGGGTACTCTTTAGGTCAGCCGCCGGCTTTCTGTATGTATTTCAGCAGTTTAGACCCCGTTAGAGATGTAGCGGTGAACATTTCTTTGGTGGTTCAACCAAAGGCACCATATATCGATCATAAGAATCCGAGGCCATGGACTGCAGCTGAGGGACCCTGAGTCGTTGTTTACCAGGCGTGACCCACAGTGACACTGGACCAGTCGGCGTCTGAAAGGAAAGCAGTGGGGTTCCATCTGTTTGACATGATCTTGCACTCGTGCACGGATTTTAAGTAGCGTCAAGCCTGAGAAATTTCAAGATGTAAAGCTCAGCGATCCCCTATCTTGTGTTAGGAAATCACAAAAATTCATCTTTTCTTCTGTCTTAATTCTGAAGTCATGGGGAGGTTATGATGACGTAGGATTTATTGGCATCCATGACGATCTTCATACCTGTTTAGAAACAAGGTGAATTTCGGCCATATACGTCCCAATGTATTTCTACATTGGACATTCAACAACCTGTTGAATTAGACTCATTTACAGACAGTTTATTGGAATTAAAAAGTGTTATTTTTAATCAAATGAACTAGGTATAATCCGAAATTTTCAGGCCTCAAAGGAAACAATATTGCGATAAATGTTACTTTGGGATAGCGGCTGCAACTAACTACGCGCTACACAAAGACGTGGTAATTTCTCCTCAGTTTTGGCTTTATTCTGGATGTCATTTGATTTAATGAATTCCTATCTAAGTGTTCGAAAAAAATTATTTTTCACTGGGAATTATACACAGGGAAAAATATTTGTACAGATATTTTTATTTCATCCCAGCTAGCATTTTTTTCGGGCGCATTGCAGACTTTTTGGCTAACTTAGGGCGCATTGCAGACTTTTTGGGCAAACTTTGGGCAAATTGCAGACTTTTTGGGCAGACTTAGGGCAAATTGCAGACTATTTGGGGCAGACTTAGGGCAAATTGCAGATTTTTTGGGGCAGACTTCGGGACAGTGTCCCACGTAAGTAGATTTACCCGAAGTTTTTTGCCCCGAAAAGTCTGCAATGCGCCCGAAGAAAATGCTAGCTGGGATTCTCTAAAGATTCAGATTTATTGGTTGAGGATAGAAGGCTTGCAGCCTATGTTAATCCTTTTCTAGTAGATTTCTGTGGTTGTCCAAACCCTTCTTGAACGAATCAGTTGAGGTTGCAGACACCACTTCTTCTGGGAGTCGGTTCCAAGAGTTTATGACTCGATGTGAGAACCAGTACTCAACAGCAATATGATTTCTCCTTGGCTTTTGAACTTTCCTGCTATGTCCTCTAAGGTGTTCCGACCTGGTGGGAAGGAAAAGAGAGAATAGGTCAGGTCCGTAGTCATTATTTAAAATTTTAAACATTGTGATTAAATCTCCTCTCTGCCTACGGTATGACAGTGAGAAGAGATTTAAACTATCTAGTCTTTCCTCATATGATAAGTTAGCTATGCCGTGAACCATACGTGTTGCCTTCCTTTGAACACTTTCTAGAATGTGTGAATCCCCTTTTAGACACGGACTGGCGGCCTGGATGCAGTTTTCCAGTCTTGACCTAACCAGAGATGTGTATAAGGAGGTGAACATATCTCTGGTAATTCTTGTAAAGGCTCTGCGAATCGCCCATAAGGACCTGAAACTACGTGCAGCCACCGCGCGACAGTGTGCTGTAGTTTTTAAGTCGTGGCTAACTATGACACCTAAGTCCAAGTGAGTCTGAACTGATGGAAGTGTTATTCCCTCTAGTTCGTAGGAGCTCGTGCTTGCTTGTCCAATGCGCATGGTTGCACATTTTGCCACATTGATCGGGAGCATCCATTCAACAGACCACTCCGACAATTTGTTGAGGTCCTCTTGCAACGTGAACGTATCACTGTTGCCCTTCAGCTCTCTCCAAATTTTTAAGTCATCTGCGTATAGGACCATAGGGGAGTCGGTGAGCAGAGGTAACTCATTGATATACAGAATAAAAAGGAGAGGACCGAGAACCGTGCCTTGTGGCACTCCGCTACTTACTGCTGTCCAGGAGGAGAGTTTTGAGTTGATCCTAACCCTCTGCCTCCTATCTATGAGGAATTCCCTGAGCCAGTCTAGTAGTCTGCCTTTGATACCAAGACTTTCCAATTTCATGAGTAGTCTTTTGTGAGGTACTTTATCAAAGGCTTTACTGAAGTCTATGAAGACGACGTCAACGGGTCTTCTGTTGTCCTTTGATTTGACCCAGCTTTCTCTTGCAGTCAGGAGATTTGACAGGCATGAGAGGTTCCTCCGGAAGCCATGCTGTGCTCCAGATAACAAGCTGCTATTTTCCAGATAAGCCATGATGCTTTTCTTGATAATTCTTTCCAGTGTCTTGATTAAAGTGCTGGTGAGACTGATAGGCCTGTAATTTGAAGGGCTTTGTCTTGATCCTCCTTTGTGTATGGGGGTTACTATGGCGTCTTTCCAATCACGTGGCAACACTCCATTTAGGAGAGATAGCTTGAAGATCGTGGTCAAGGGCCGGCTATGTGGGCTGATAGCTCCTTGAGAAGCCTTGGATGAAGACTGTCAGGACCCATTGATTTTCCTGCATCTAGTTTCATTAAGAAGTTGAGCACGATGCCTTGGTCGATGTCAACGGAATCTATCCCATGTTCTTCTGATGCAGCCAGAGCTGATCCTATAGGCAGTGATGACTCCTGAGTGAAGACTTGGGAGAAGTAGTTTGCCATTGCTTCTGCTTTTTCTTGATCTTCTTCGATTGTATCTTTGTCAATAATCAGGTTTGGGACACCATTGGGTGTTTTATTCCTGAAATTCAAGTACGAGAAAATTTTCTTAGGTTGTGCCTTTGCATTTTGGGCCAGGTGTGTCTCGAACTTCATCCTTGATTGGCGGATTTCTGCGATAGCTTTATTTCTAGCAGTAGTATATAATTCCCTGGTCTCAGAAGTCTCAAGTGTTGCAAACAGGTTCCAACATTTGCGTTTACGTCTGAGTAACTTACGAATCTCCCGGTTTATCCAAGGGGGGGAATGTTTCCGACCCTTTGGAACAGACCAAGGGATGAAGGGTACAGTTACTTGGGCGTAAAGTTGCTTAAATTGGTTCCATGCGGCTTCTACTTGGGACTCTGGATTGATGTACCAGTTTACTGAGTTGGCTGCTGAGACGATCGCATTTATGTCAGCTTTCCAAACGTTTGGTCGAGCTGGGGTTTTGGCCCTTGCTGCCGTTGATAAAGATATCATTCGTCGCACATGCGACTTAGAACACACTTCTATGCTTATCGAACCTTGGATTTTAAATCTATTGACTTCATAAGAAATAGGAACTCTAAAGCTTTGGTTAATATTCCAACAGCCTTAAATAACAACAAACCAAGGCCTAGAGATAGCAAGATTTGGCTACTGAGACATGTTTTACCACGTCTCATAGAGGCCGAACATCGTAAGTCGTTATGTAAAGTTAGTGGTGTGGCTTTAATTGACTGGGAATAAAGAAATTGATATGATTGTGAGCAATAGTTTGTGCTCGAAACGTCATCAGTTAATATTACTGCACAACACTGTGTGATTTATCGAAATAAAATCTTATCGATAATGACGGTTTTTGGCTGGCGCATCACCACCAATGGTCTCTGGGTGAAGAGAACACGAAGGATTAGTTTTGGGAAGTATGATCAGTGGAATGAACGCAAGACTTAAATATCACATCCTTGTGAGTGTGTGGGTGGCTGGTTACCTACATCGTGGGTGTTGATTCCTTCTTGAATTATAGGAAAGAGAAAAAGTATTAGTGATGGGCTACTTCCGAATCTGGATTACTACTATTTGAAGGTTGCAATTTTGAGGTGGAATTATATCTGTACAAAAATCATTTTGCCTTGTCTGTAACACCGTAATGTTTGTCTAGTTGTTCAGTTTCTTGCGACCTTTCCTCAGAATGGGAAGACAGCGGGTCTGGCCTGCAGATTCCCGGTAAGTATTGTCATATTTATTTCACAATTCCTGGTATCAACAGTGCGACCTGTCCTTTAAAACCTCACCATGTGTGAAATTCATTATATGGTATAGCTGCCTTATGTTATCTGTCATATGGGATAATTGTAGTTCAATATCAGGTGATAAACAAGTAATATATAGAATATTCCATGAAATGTATAGACCTTGGAAAGGGATCTAAAATTAATGATCTCAATAGGTAAGTAGGCAACTAAAGTATTACTTATTATGGCGGGGAGTTTGATAAGATGGAATTTAACATGATGAATTTAATTTGAAATGAGATGTAAACCCCTAGATAACTTCACAGTTTTGGAATAAAGTCACTAAAAGAGATCCTTTTGCCAACTTATGTGTTCTTAAAAGACTGCGTTACCTTTATTTTGTTTGGCTGCTTGTCACCAATTAAGCCTTTGTGTCGAAACTGACGTCTGACACCTCATCTCGGTTTAATCATTAGGGGTTTATAAAGGGTAAATCAACTCTAACCGAATATTTAACCGTCACTTATTTAGAGTAAACTTTAAGGGAGGGAATTAGGGAAGTAAATAAGCTGAGAAGAATCGAAGAATGATTAACCCGAAGATCTTGTATCTGTCCCATGTGTGCGTCCGATCCTTAAAGGTCTGAACATCCAAGGATGAAATTAGCTGTCTTGTGTTATCTCCGTTGAGTAGGGTTTATTTACTTTGATTCCATTTCATAAAGTTTCAAGTTTTATACTTATATCAATATTTCATAAAGGTTTGAATATGCCTAAAGGCGCATGTCTCATTGGCTAAAATACTCAGCTTTAAGACAGTGGGTCACGAGTTCGAGTCCCGCTACAAATAAGCAGTAATATGAGACATACAGTAGGTGTGGTTATTGGCCCGGTACATGAAAGAATTATTCCAGGTAATGGAGTTCAAACAAATATACTCCATATAGATGATAAGTACGTTCTGAGTGGCAGTTTTAACACTGTTCAGTTTTACGATTATAGTGAGGTTTTTGAAACAATAAACCGTCGGTATTCAAATATTTCAATTAAATTTGTTTTCCTTGCTACTGTTATTCAAAATATTTATTGTGGTTACTTTCACTTCTTGCGTATTGTTTTGCCCTAATTTTGCAACTAAATGGGTGAATATTTCGTAATTTTTTCAGCGATCTGAACAACGCAAATGGTCAGTGAATTCCCTGCGTTAAAAAATGATAACATTATCAAAGCTGCCAGGGGAGAAGCCGTTTCTCGTACGCCTGTCTGGATAATGCGTCAAGCGGGTCGCTATTTACCTGAATTTCGTGCAGTTCGAGAAAAGCATGACTTCTTTGAAATATGTCGTACTCCAGAACTAGCCTGTGAAGTAACACTACAACCCATTAAACGTTTTGATCTTGATGCAGCCATCATATTTTCTGATATTTTGGTTATACCTCAAGTAAGTTAATTTACAACCATATTGGCAACTTCTTTTCTGTTATGATTAGATGACGTTCAGCTGTTTAGCTTTTGATTTCAAGTCAATAGGTATAAATCATACTATTTTTTCAATATTTGTTTACTTCTTTTCTAATTGGTGTTGTGGTAACCCACATATAATCTCATACAGTAAAACGCTGCATTTCGAGTAAATACATATTTACATACACTACAAATGATAAAAGCATATAGATATGGACTCAGTTTAGTCTATGGATTTTTTACTTAATGAAGTCAAATAGATAATTTTGTATTTGCTTCTGGTCAATTTATTATTATATCTCTTTCGTTTTCGTCTTAGCTTTTTGTTCCTTTAGTTTCTCACTAGAGCATCGAGCTTCTTGTTTCTAAGTTTCAGTAGCGGTGGCGTTGTTTACATGAAGTGGGGTTGCTGATCTCACGCCCACCTTCCCCTCTTTTCCGGGCTGACGACCGGCTGGACGAGGTATATGAGTGCGTAGGCGAAAAATTTTTCCCCATACACTTGAGTAGTTGGCTAGCAGTATTATTATAATACTCATTGAAATAAACTTTGGAGATATTGGTCATTCCTTTAAACTCTGTTTCAGTTTGTGCTGTTGGATGACAGAAAAACATATGTGAAGTGTGGTTTATAGTCCAGTCATTGAGTTACAATGTTTTTCATATTAACTGTAACTTGCTTGTATAGGTAAAGTTAAGGTAGAACTCTTACTTGACATTTCGAAATCTCATACACTTTGTTAATTTAAACTTGCACTTGGTTGTCAGAGGTTTAAATTAATTAGTGATGGTAGGCAGGTGTATACGCTTACAAACTAGACGTTGAAAATTCGTTTCACTAGGAATCATGCGGGTTACCCGGTCACTTGCGATGTATGTATATGTTTATATTATAATTGAACGTCTTGCCGTGATCTTTTAGCCGAGATAGATGTAAATAAACGGTCATTCCTGGGCCTCTTTTATAACATCTTGGAAAATTGTAGGACTGAAGGCAGCTTTTGTCTTTGTGTAAACATCTTTTTACGGTTATTTAGTAAAATATTAGTTTGGGATAAAAACTGACAATAGTCAAGTGATTTTCCTTGGTGACCAGCATTCATTGTGTATTTATTACAGAAAAAGGTTAGGTTTCTTTGTTGTGGTTCACACTCCATCTTGCACTTCTCATTAACAAGTACGCTGTTCCGTAAGAGAGATGTAGCTCATTGGTTCAAGCAGTCTGCTTCCAGCAAATGCGCCTCAGGTTCGAGCTCCACTCTTTCAGTTACATCATTTATGTGCCACCTTGCACTTTATGAAAAGTTTGAATCACTCGGTCATCTCCAACAGACATGATCTTCATGATTTTAGTTTCACTCTTTGTCATCTTTAATTCCGTGATCTCCAACAATACTGTTTCTTTAACACTTGTAATTTTTAGTTGTGTAAAGGTTGCGAAAATTCACTCTAAAAAAATAGTGTTTTCGATGTCTAAACCTAGTTATCGACTATCGACCAAAGGGCGGGTGTACTGCTCATCAGTCCGTTCCGTACTCTTTTATGGTTGTGAGACCTGGCCACTGAGAGTGGAAGACATGAAAAGACTAGCTGTCTTTGATCATAGGTGCCTGCGCTCTATTTCCCGTGTAAAGTGGCATAATAAGGTGAGCAACATTGAAGTTAGGCGTCGAGTTCTAGGTAAACAGGGGAAATCAATCGACGAAGTCGTGAAGTTACAAAGACTGAGATGGTTAGGACATGTGTTGCGTATGCCAAGTCATCGCCTCCCTCGACGAGCAGTGTTAGCGGATATAGGGTCAGACTGGAAAAAGCTAACGGCGGTCAAACAAAAACTTGGCACCAGTCAATGAAATCCCCAACAGTTGGTCTAAGCCACGTAGGAAGGTGTAGACTTCCAGGGTGGGGTCCTCGAGACGGTAAAAATCTATGGTTGGAAACAATTGGTGACATGGCTCAAAATCGTTCTCAGTGGCTAGCGCAGATGCATCCACTCCTTGTGATTTATGATCTCCAATGAAACTGTTTTGTTCTTCGTTATTACTCCTTTGTCTCACACCTCTGCTCACTGTCTCTATTATGCTTTTCTTGTACTTTCTTCTCTTGCTTCGCGTGCTACACGGAGTGTGGCGACTTGAACTTCCGCACATTTGTGCAAAGTTCTATGTCGAAAACAGACAGACAGAAACCTAGTTAGAAGTAATATGGGTCTTCAGCATTTGAACTAAATTAACTGAAACTTTGGTACGTCGTACTAAATTTTAGATGTGCTTTTAGAATATTCATATAAAATCGTAATTCAAATGTCCATTGGATTCTTGACTGGAGTAGGAAGCAATGTAAAACTAATAGATTATTTCGTATAGCCTCACATCAGTTTAATACCTTTAATGCAGTGTATTTTACTGTTAATGGTTACTCCATAGCTTAAGTGACGATATAATAACTCACGAACAGCCACCATATCTGTAGCTTAATCGTAGTCTCGGTGCGCGTCGGTGGCACAGCGGTTAGGACTCTTTCCGACCATGCAGATGGTTCGGGGTTCGATCCTCGGCCAACGCACCTCTTTACCTCGCTGAACCAGAAATAATGCTGGTAAAGAGGAAAGGTTGGGCACAGAACTAGCAACCCCCATCCTGTAAAATAAGCATTGCTACAGAAACTTTAAGCCACTAACTTGAGGCCCTATGTTCCACTGGGAACTTGAAGGAAAAAAATCGTAGTCTTTCGCAGGAAAACCGACTCCAATTTAGGAAATGAATGTCGAGTTTGTCAAGAGCTCTTAGTGTTGCAGACAAACGCAGTGCTCAACAGTGATGGTTGAGTAAAGTCACTACGGCATTTTCTGAATATCATGCCTACCCACTTATATATATATATATATATATATATATATATATATATGGTGCATTTACATCACTGTCTGAATTCCGTTGCTCAGTGAATATAACAGCATGTTTTTTTGTAATTATTTATTATAGGCTCTTGGTATGGAAGTTAAAATGCTACCTGGAATCGGACCGAAATTCGTTGAACCTCTAAATTCACCAAAAGATCTAAATCGACTGAATTTCCAGGTGAATGTGGGCAGAGATTTAAGCTATGTCTATGAGTCAATCTCATTAACCCGTCATCGACTGGAGGGAAAAGTCCCTTTAATCGGTTTCGCCGGAGCTCCATGGACTCTTATGTCTTACATGATTGAAGGTGGAAGTTCTAGTACTTATTCCAAAGCGAAACGATGGTTATATTGTGAACCACAATCCAGTCATCAGCTACTCGATCTCATTACCCAAACAGTTGTGGAACATCTAGTTCAACAAGTTCTGGCTGGTGCTCAGTTACTTCAAGTAATTTTTTGTCTTGTAATTTACTCCTTTGTACATTTCCTTAGTGTCTAAGTAATTATGCATTGTTTATAGTATTGATACATAATTTGGTACCACTACTTATTCGTTTATCTCCATATTCATCTCTGAATTGATACTTTTAAATTATCATATTCAAAGATCTGCTTTCCCTAACTTGTTACGAACATCCTCGCATTGTTATTTCTGACGTTTTTATTTACACACCTGAAACACGAAAGTAATTGAAATTTTCCGTAAATTTGTAAGTCGGGATAATCATCTTGTGTTTGTCGAACTCTAACTCATCACTGTTCAATACTTGTGTCAGAGAATGTTACTCAATGGAGAGCTTATTAAGCGGGAAGTGAATGAAACCTAGTGTGTGTGAATAAGTTTAAGATTTATTTTGATAGTCTAAGTCTCAGCAGATATTACCATGAAGTGAACTGAATAATCAGTGTAGAACTTTTAAATATGGACTGAAAGTCATCGGTGAAATCAACCGTCTCTATAATGTGCTTCGCTATAGATGATGTTGGACATCTATTTCCGGGATCACTTGTATCTGGCAACTTTATTTGTTGTTGCAATCACTTTGGAATATGTTCTATAGCCCTAACCTGCAGAGACTGATGGGTTCTTCCTATGTACGTGTGTCCACACATGTAACTTGATAAACACAATGGGGTGTGACACTATCGTTCGGATACTCTGAAGGTTTACAGGACTGCATAGTTCTCGTTTTCTCTATGAGGATAAGTTTAGCTGCATAATAAGTTCTAATTCCCACCGTGAGTCTTTGTTTAGTGACCAGACCTTGTTGACCACCCCTAAACGGGAAGGATATATTAATATCCTTTTTGAAAACTGATTGGATTGGTAGAGCTCTTTGGTTGACACTTCCGTAACGCCTAATAAGTCTCAGCGGGTAATTGTTATCTAACAGTATTTCAGTGAGGTGTTGTCTTCTTCAATTGTGAATGCGTTTGAACAAACACTCAACCAACGCATTTTTATAATGTAGTGGACAGAAACTATGATGATTTAGATACTGTCCCGTCCATGTGGACTTTCTGTAAACAGATCGTTTTACTGACCCATGTTGACGGGATATCAGTAAATCTAAAAATGGCAGGCAATCATTATATTAGTGATATACTGTTTTGTACTACATTGATCTGTTTTAGAATTTCTATGGCATCTGTCGGTTTATCACAAATGACTAATATGTCATCCAGATATCTCATAAAAATACACCTTTCCAATTATATATATATATATATATATATATATATCAGCTAACAATAGACCTAGGGGGCTTCCCATAGCAACACCATCGATCAGGCGAAAATGCTCGCCCTCAAATGTAAAATTAACATTATTGTACATAGACGCAGTAACTTTTAAGTAGGATACGGACACTGGTAATGGGAAATTGTTGTCAGAGATGTAATCACATAAAATGTCAACCCTCTGTGAAAGGGGTGCATTTATAAATAAAGAATCAACGTCTGAAGAGAACATGGTTTTGTCCTTTATATCAACGTTATGAAGACAATCAATTAACTCAAAATTATCTTTTAATGCGAACTTACAGAAGCTTCTTCTAATAAGCTCTAATATTTCCACTAGCTACAGTGTAAGTTTGTGGGTTGGGGATCTGCACATTGACATTATGAGACGGAGAGGAATGTCAGGTTTCTGTGGTTTAGGCAGACCATATATGTATGGTAGTTAGGATTCCGTGGGCTTTAGTGAATTGAATTTCTCTCCGTTAATTGCACTCATGTTTAGGAGTTTTTCTAGACTATTTGTCAACATATTTTGTACATTCTTCACATCTTCCAAAGTGGAGTCTCGTGAATTTGTCATTGTTTCCAAGAGTGCATAACGTTTTACTTTTGTGTTCAATTTTGTCCATTATAACTACATTGAATTTAATAATCGCTAAATATGAACACAATTTAGAGCAAACACGACTGGCTATTATGGCAATATGATTTAATCAACACTACACTGTGACTTATATTTAGAATTAAGTCGATGGCGAAATGTCAGTATGGAAAACAATAATATGTATCATAAATCCACTAAGTGTTGTGACTGATTACCTATCTAACAATTTTAGATATAAGTGGGGTGTAGACTAAAAACCAAAAAGGAAGCATTTCAATAATGATTTGGAGTAATTTAACTACAACTCGCACAGTTTTCTGTTTGATTCAGTTGTCCTATTCTTTATGCTCTCTTTCCTTTTATTTTGTTAGGTTTTTGAATCCCATGCTGGCTTTCTTAGTCCACATCTTTTTAACATATTTAGTCTACCGTATTTAAAACGGATTGCAAACGAAGTGCGAAGTCGTCTGTCAAATGAATACAAAATTACTGGTGACTCTCTTCCACCACTAATTGTATTCGCGAAAGATGGTCATTATGCTCTGTCGCAATTATCTCAGGCTGGCTATAATGTTATCAGTTTAGATTGGACTATATCTCCTGATTTAGCTCGAAGTACTATCCCTTCTGGTATAACACTACAAGTGAGTTAAAATTTCGAATTACTAAACTGATTTTCGCGTACACTGTTACTCAACTTATCTCTGTTTAAAACTGATTGCAGGAGTATTTCTCCTCCTCGAAACCATAAATCAAGTAGCCTCAGTTACGAACTTCAAGACATTCATATGGGAATTTTGTGGTAAAATGATCGACTTCATGGGAATTTAAGTGTCTAGCGTTGAAATGGATTTCCTGGCACTTTAGTGAGAATCAATCTTAAATAAGTGTATGAAGAAATAAAACGCTGATCGCACTATATCTGGAGCTTTAAGAAGTTGGTAAGTGTTTGTCATTGAATTTCGACTCAATAATCTCAAGAATTAACAGTTCCTTTGTTTGGTTCTTGGTAAGGTTGCGAGTGGGTACTGTTAATTTGTCTTAAGACTAGTGTTAAACAATGGTGCACTTACCTGGATTATTATTTGTTTGATGGTCAATTTTGGCATATCATAAAAACTTTTGAAAATTACAAGCTTATTGAGGCCTTAAGTCTGTGCAACAAAAACAAAAGTTTTGATGTCCATAAAGTTAATGAAAGCCGGGAAAGCAGCAGCACCTGATGGAGTCACCTCCAGAAGTACTGAAAACGGAACTTGGCGATCTTGGTGAAAATACTCACGCCACTACTGGAGAGGGTGTGGAAGGAAGAAGATAAATGTACCCACCTGCCAATAGGAAAAAAGGCTACCTTGTCAAACTGTCAAAGAAGGGTAACTTGAGCCTATACGAGAACTGACTTAGGATTATGCTATTGACAACCTCTAGCAAAATGTTAAACTTCATTATCCCGCAAAGACCAAGAGTTAGTCTTCCAGAACAGGCTGAACTCGGCAGAAACGAGTCATGCTTGGATGAAATCGTAAGACCACACAAAATTATCGAAGAGAACATAGAGAAGTGGCAGTCAGTTCTGTACCTCAGCTTCAACTTGATCAACTATGAAGTGTCCTTCGACAGCGTCGATCTTGAAGTAATTTGGCGGCCACTTCAACATTACAAAGTGCAGTAACGCAAAGACTTATAAACCCTATTGAACAGCTAGCTAATTCACAAAGCGAAGGGTCAGTGAAGCCTTTGAATTTAAGACAGGAATAAAACAAGATTGTTTGTTATTACCGATAATATTCTTGATTGTGATGGACTGGATCATACCAACATTTGAGGGGAGTCAAATGGGTATATGTTCGATTGACAAAGAGACCCTTGATATCTGAATTTCCCAGATGGTTCATGTCTCATTTCCCAGAGACTAAGAAGACTTACGCGCGAATACCAAAAAATTTGGCTACTAAGACAAAGGTAATGAAGACACCCGACAACCAACAATAGCTAATACCGATCATCATTGACGGGAGAAATCTTAAGGATGTCGTCTGCCTTACTTACCTTGGCAGCATCGTCTCAACCGTAGGTGGCACAGATGAGAATGTCACAGCCAGCCAGGATCAAATGAGGAAATCACGACAGACGTTGATAACTCTGAAACCAGAGTATGTGGGGTTCGACACTAACATGAAACCAGTGCTTCTGTATTGTTCAGACAGGCGCGCGTCACAAAATTCACTTCCAACAGATTGCAGGAGGAAATCGAGATGGACTGAACATACGCTATAGATAAATTCAAGTGATGTTACACAGTAGGCTCTGGATTGGAACCCGGATGGAAGTGACCAGTTGGCCATCAAAGAAGACTACGTGAAGAGGAAAGCATAAAGGTAATCATGTAGTCAGTTGTAAATGATAGAAAAGATGTGTTGGAGATGTGTTGCTAAATCCTCCTGCTCCACCAGAAACGCAAGGAATGAATAATAATAAAAACAATGCAACGAACTTTCTCCAGGTGGTTCAGTGATTTGGAAGATCCTGTGGGGAGGCGCTTTTTCGGATACTTCATACACTTTTTCTCCCTTATGAATTTGATCAACAATTTGTCCTTGCTTTATCCAAAATAATAATAATAAAAAAAATCTGATCGGCGAAATTAAGGTTTCACATAGTAAATGCCCTATCTTTAAAAATGAACCACTATGTGAAAATCACTGGGATATTAGTATGATGTCAATTGCATGCAAAATACTTAGTGTTATCCTATCTCCCTAAATCCAGCAGAAACTGACTGGCAAACGGAAAGCCAGTTTTCAGTCAGTCTGTGGAAGTACTGACCGCGTGTTTTCTCCCGAGCAGTTAATGGAATACCGTCGCATGCATAGCAAACCAAGTCTTGTTGTTCTTAATATTAGGGCCTTTGGTTTGCTAACCGAGAGAAAATTATTATATCGGAGTTGCCTGTTACTGGGCAACGTCCTCAAGTGGCTCTACACTAAAACACTCCAGATAAAACGAAGACGTAAAACCTCCTATAACCACTGTTTTCAGCCATCAGTGGGTGGCTAGCCCTCAATATTATTATTATTATTGCTCCCTTGGGTTCCTAGTGGAACATAGGGTTTCAACTGCACGTCTCCACTTGCTTCTGTCTTCTGCTGTACTTTTCACCCTCGCCTAGATTACTGGCTCGCTAGTTTTCTTGCTGGTCCCAAGCCCGGATAAAGAGGGAGGGTTGGGGCGTGGTGCTAGCAACTCCACCCCCGTAAAACTCAACCAAATCGCCACAGAAACTTCAAAGCGCAAATATATTAAAAATTCTAAAAATATAAACAATAGCCTTAACAATCACCCCCACAGTCCGAAACGCACGCGAAACCTCTCTATTACTCACTCATCTTTGTCTTCATCTTCATCTCTATCATCTTGCCTTCCTTCCACTGATGCAACTCCTCGACTTGATAGCTCTCCACTTCCTCTCCACTCTGCGTCCACTAAAAACGATGGAAGCCAAAAAACCACCACCGACAGCCTCTTAAAGCCGCGCCACCAATTTCATATAGGAGCTCTTAATGTTAGGACACTTTGCCAAATAGGACAACAAGCATCACTAGCCAAGACCCTGGCATCACGAGCCATTGATGTATGCTGTGTTTCAGAAACACGCATACAAGACCCAAGTGTGGTTATTCACCTAACCCCACCTGGCCAACAGGTTGAATCTGCAAAATTCACCTTGAGGGTGTCAGGAGATGCCACAGCTAGTTCACGAGGATTAGCTGGCGTAGGGATAGCTTTGAGTACTAGGGCAGAAAAGACATTGCTTGACTGGATCCCGGTAGATAGCCGAATGTGTGCTGTCCGCCTGAACGGATCAGTAAGAAGGAGGAAGGACTGCACTACTCGCCGATGCCTTTTCGTAATCTCCGCCTACGCCCCCACTGACTGCAGTTCAGATGAAACGAAGGATGAGTTCTACCAAAAGCTGTCTAGTTTGGTGGAAAGGCTAAACGCTCAGACATAGTCGTTCTAGCTGGTGACTTTAACGCTCAAGTAGGGAAATTGTGTCAATCTGAGAAGGATGTCGGTGGCACCTATGGAGTTCCGTGCCAGCGAACCGACAACGGTGACCGTCTCCTACAGTTCTGCTCTGATAATCATTTGTTTCTTGTAAGCACTAACTTCAAACACAAGGAGAGACACTGTTTGACTTGGAGACCCCCTTCATCAAACCAACGCTGGACACAAATAGACCACATAGCAATAAGCTATCGTTGGCGTGGGTCGGTAGGAGATTGTCGCTCCTTCTGGAACACGTGCGTAGATACCGACCATGCACTGGTCCGCGCTCGGGTGTGCTTACGACTGAACGGACGTAGGAAACAGCTGGCGGTAAAACCATCACGTCCCCAGCTCGATCAGGAAACTAAATCCGTATTTGAGGAAGAACTAGCTAAACACATATCTGTGTTCGACAGCTGTGCTCACCCTGAAGAAGCTTGGAAAAATATCCAGGCAGCCATAGATACAGCTGTAAAAGCTGTGAATAAGGTAAACCCAAAGGTGAGTAAAAACCACTGGATCTCCACCGCCTCATCCGAACTGATAGATGCTAGAAGACTTATTCCGGCGAGCTCCGAATTCAATGAGGAGCGAAAGCTGCACAAGAGGAAACTTACGAAAAGTCTCCGCAAGGACCGTGAACAGTGGTGGGCGACAAAAGCCAAAGAGATGGAGAAAGCTTCGAGGATAGGCAACACCAGGCAACTCTTTAGACTCATCAGGGAAACGGGTGGGAGAAGACAAATCATTAGTGAGACAATCTCGGAAAAAAATGGCACTATAATTAGCTCCCAGGATAGACGACTGGATCGTTGGAAAGAGCATTATGAGGAGCAGTTTAATTTGCCCACAGCCACGCTCAACCTTCCGAGCATCCAACACCTCCCTGAATGGGATATAGACACAGGTCCTCCGTCCCTAACTGAGGTTACTAAAGCTGTCACCAATCTGAAACTAGGCAAAGCAGCGGGACCTGATGGAATGACTCCAGAGGTATTTAAGTACGGTGGAGACAGCTTACTGTCTGGATTAACTGAGGTACTAGGCAGCGTCTGGGAATCAGAAGAAGTCCCATCGGGTTGGTGTAAGTCACTGATTATCCCCATATACAAGAAGGGAGACAAGTCTTCCTGTGATAATCACAGAGGGATTAGCTTGACTAATATAGTATCTAAAGTCTTAGGCTCAATAATCATGCGTAGACTGAGTGGTGCTCGGGAAGCACAAACACGAGAGAGCCAGGCAGGCTTTAGACCAGGAAGAGGGTGTATTGATCATATCTTCACCCTCCGACAGATTCTAGAACATAGGCATTCCTACCGGCGTCCAACAGTCATTATATTTCTTGACCTAAAGGCAGCATTCGACTCTGTCGATCGGAAGTTCTCTGGAGATGCTTGGCTGTAAAGGGAATTCCGAGAAAATATATTGCACTGATTAAGGCACTCTACTCGTACTCATACAGCCAGGTGAGGGCTTACGGCGAGCTGTCATCTGAACTGATGACGACCAGTGGTGTCCGTCAAGGATGCCCATTATCTCCTTTTCTATTCAACTTCATCATAGATGTGTTAATGGACTTAACCCTAGGTGACTTCAGCGACTCAGGGATTGACTTGCTACCGGGAATAATCTCGTTGACTTGGAATATGCAGACGATATAGTCCTTCTAGGCGAAGACGCTGACGAAATGCAGAGTCTTCTAAACACCTTGAGCCGCAATCTACGAATGTTTGGCATGCGATTCGCTCCCGCCAAATGCAAGATGATGTTACAGGACTGGACTACATCGACGCCTAGTTTAAAAATAGGAAGTGAAGTGGTAGAGCACGTTGACCGCTTCACTTATTTGGGAAGTACCATCAGCCCCAACGGGTTGATCTCTGACGAAATCTCAGCACGAATACAAGGGGCTCGTTTCGCATTTGCCAGTTTACGCCGACTCTGGCGTAGACGAGATGTTCGACTATCGACCAAAGGGCGGGTGTACTGCTCATCAGTCCGCTCCGTCCTCCTTTATGGTTGTGAGACCTGGCCACTGAGAGTGGAAGACATGAAAAGACTAGCTGTCTTTGATCATAGGTGCCTGCGTTCTATTTCCCGTGTAAAGTGGCATAATAAGGTGAGCAACATTGAGGTTAGGCGTAGAGTTCTAGGTAAACAGGGGAAATCAATCGACGAAGTCGTGAAGCTACAAAGACTGAGATGGTTAGGACATGTGTTACGTATGCCAAGTCATCGCCTCCCTCGACGAGCAATGTTAGCGGATATAGGGTCAGGCTGGAAAAAAGCTAGCGGCGGTCAAACAAAAACTTGGCACCAGTCAATGAAATCCACAACAGTTGGTCTAAGCCACGTAGGAAGGTGTAGACTTCCAGGCTGGGGTCCTCGGGACGGTAAAAATCTATGGTTGGAAACAATTGGTGACATGGCTCAAAATCGTTCTCAGTGGCGCAGATGCATCCACTCCTTGTGACTTATGATCTCCAATGAAACTGTTTTGTTCTTCTTTATTACTCCTTTGTCTCACACCTCTGCTCACTGTTTCTATTATGCTTTTCTTGTACTTTCTTCTCTTGCTTCGCGTGCTACACGGAATGTGGCGACTTGAACTTCCGCACATTTGTGCAAAGTTCTATGTCGAAAACAGACAGACAGCCAGACTTATTTTTCGCTGGAATCGGGGAAGTGAAACGACGCAGGCTGGTGAAAGCCTTGTGGAAGCCAGTCAGCCTTCTTTCGATGAAAGCAAAAGTAAGGATGGGTATCTGGAATGTTCGTACAATGTACGAAACTGGAAAGGCTCCCCAGATAGCCTCTGAAATGAGAAGGTATAGAATAGAAGTGTTGGGAATCTACGAGAGCAGATGGGACGGAACTGGAAGGTGCCAACTACCAACTGGAGAGACAATAATCTATTCCGGCCACCCAGAGGACAACCATGAGCACACTGAGGGAGTGACCATCATGATGTCACCAACAGCCCGTGATATGGAGTTACAAAATGAAGGATGGTTATGTTGTACTGACATCTGTTTTTAGGCTGCTGTTCTTTTCGTATAGTTCGAGAAATCAGAATGTACACTACTTCGTGGCGTTATTAGGCTTAGTTCAACAAGGCAATCTGTGACTTTTATGTTGCAGTTTTTTTTTCAAATCCTTGATCCCAATCCTGATGTGCACCGCAATTACCAACATCGGAAACCTCATTTCTGTTGTTTTCTGTGGCTGAACGTGTCCATGCTTTCTTGGTCGTTTGCAGATCTTTAAGCCCGTGTGCACAGTCGGTTTAAATCAAAGTTTCCCAAATGTCCTACGTGAACCCTCCGTGTTCACTAATTTAGTAGTGAGCACTTCCTTCGCACTTCCCTTTTAATTTTGTATGACTTGTGATGTAGAGTGAAGGTAGCACTTGCGTGAAAGAGCCTGTTACATAAAAACTTTTTATTTAGTTGTGGGTGGATGTAACTTTGTGAAAATGTAAGTTTTTACAAATCACTACATATACGGTATGTATTTCAAAACAAGTGATGTATGTGTGCATCAAACTTATATAATTACTACTTCGTTAAATGTGCATTTATGAAGCTTACATAAATGTAATGTCACATCTCTGGTAAATCGTATACTATAACCAACTTCATCTTTTTCACATTCTCGGTCAACTGCTAATTTAGACAGTTAGTGTCATCAACCGAATCAATACGACAACGGAAAGCATTGTATTGGTTTCAGTCGTTGAATATAGAATCCATTCAGTATTCATTTGGTTACTCATTGGTACGTTTAGTTAACATCTAATCAACAAGTCACGAGTTAGAACCCTGTTCTGTTTATCAAAGTGTGTTCGAGCTTGCATGTAGTTACTAAGAGTCACAGTTATGCAATCACAAGTGTTTATCTACTTTTCTGTAAAATGTGTATCAAGTCAGTATTTAATTCTCTCAAAAATATCTCTTCTGTTTTGTTTTCTTTCAGGGTAATTTGGATCCCTGTGCATTATATGCTGATGAGAATGAGCTTTCCAGTCAAGTGAAACAAATGATTGTAAAATTCGGTGTTAAACGTTATATTGCCAATTTAGGTCATGGTATTTATCCAGATGTTGATCCAGAAAATGTAAATAAATTTGTTAATTTAGTTCACAGACTATCAGAAACAGCATTGGAGTAAAACCAATTTAGTTTCATTTAGTTTCAATACCTCTTTTCTTCATTATTATTTATGGCTTTGTATTTTACTCTTATTGTCAGTTGTAGTATGTTGCATATCTTTTCCTTTTTGATATGTTGCTGTTTAAGTATTAATTCTTAGTAAACTGAATGGTTTGTAGATTCTTTTTTTTTCGCTCATTTTTGTACCTTTCTTATTTCTTTTGATCTCTGTGTTTAAATGTACGAATTGCATTTTGTATATAGTCATCTTAGGAATAGTTGACAATCAAAGTTATATGTTTTGCAACTACCAGTCTTTTAGTTTACACATGTGAACATCGTTTATCTTCCGATAATGGAAATAAAAATCTTTTGAAAATTGTCTATGTTATTTATCTTAACTTTTCAAAGTAGAACTGTATCCGCAATAATCTGTATTTTTGTATATTTAATTGGATAGTTTCATTTAACCAGATTCCTTATAAGTGTTTATAATATTTGGGTTAATTTTAGGAGGCCACCATGCTCGACCAATAACTGATAAGAAATTAAATGCAATTGGGTATGTCACTATGGTATCACTCTTCCAGATTACAATGACCAAGTTCCTACTACTTTTGACGTCAGATAACCGTCAGTCTGTACCACAATTCTCTGAATTCTGACCTTGTAGTTGTGCTGATGTTTGTGAGCTCAGTTTTGTGTAAATAAATTTCTTCGTAATACTAAGATATCTCAACGCTAGAGTCAAATTTAGGCATTGGCGGACAGATCAGCTATATCACAGAAGTCTTTAACTATTTTTGTCCGGGATTCTCAAGTCATTAGTCTTATGTTTAAAAAGGGCATACATAATGTACGTGGTGACTATTCGCAATATCAGCCTGTTAGCTGTCACGTAATTTGCGAAATACATTGGAAACTGGTTTGCGAAGAGTAGGGTAGATTCTTAAGGTTGCGAATGCTATAATGTTGTGCTTGAATAGTACCAACACAGTCGCTGTATTTCCTTATGCTATGACTCTCTTCGAATCGGTGTACAGGACCTCTATGTTGTGTAGCACTTGGGCACTGTGTTAGTATGTAATCCCATGTTAATATTTACTGGATATAACACAGCGAAGCGGTATTATTGACCAGATGATGTTTCCAAACACAATTATTGTCAATTGTATTACCTACAAACTAGCAGTGTGGCTAGACAGGCTTGTTTGTTTTCGTTACTCCTCATGAATGTTGAAGATAGCTCTAAGCTTCGATCGCAATTTATTCCTCATAGTCATATCAATTTAGTCACATGGTTTCACGATTCGTCTTACATATATTTTCTCTCTGTCTCTCCAACCTCCCTAGAATAGCTAACCCCGCTAAGTTTAAGAACGTAGGAAAAAGCTCAGCCATTGCAGTGCATTCACTTGCATGTAATCAAAAAATATAGTGGGAGTATTAAAAAGTAATATATTTAGTTGTAGATAGAGGTTAATACTGAAGCTTTGGTGATCGATTCAACACCGCACACGTGCAGTCGGAATGACGCAACACCTATACCGGAGATATGGAAAGTGGCAGCAAACAACAAAGGGAAGTTGTAGAAACAGAAAGAGAGAAAAAATATATATAAGACACCTCTTCAAGAATTGAAAATATTTATTTCCCGATACGAGTTTAAAACAAATGGAATTTTCCCAGTGGATATATTTAATTATGTTCATAATTTATCTGATGTTTCCCTATCAAAAAAACAGGCAGAAATTCTGTCATTGGGATTCAACTTCTGTGTTCCCATGAAAAAGATAGAGCAAAGAGACATCGAATGCCAATTCGAAAATCTTTATGATCAACTTATGGGGGTACACGCTACGTCCGATGACAACGAAAGCTGGTTGAAATCAAAGATGGTTGATATTGCTCATCAATTTCAAATCATGTCGACCAATCAAAAGTCGCATATCACCAAAGTACACTGGAGATCTCTAAACAAGCTCCGAAAAGACAATAATCTTGTTATTTTACAAGCTGATAAAGAATAGAGTGTAGTACTAATGAATAAGATAGATTATCTCAAGAAAATGCATCAAATTCTCTCTGATGAATCTAAATTCAAATTGGATAATCATGGAAAAGATCAAACGTTATCGACCGAAAGGAAAATTGTACAGCATATACAGCAACTCTTCAAAAACAAATACACTGATGAAAATACATATAGGAATATCAAACTGATTGGGTCACAAATCCCAAAATTATACGGACGCGTTAAAATACACAAACCACGAGCGCCATTAGGATCTATACTCTCAATGATAAACTCACCATACCATAAATCAGCACAGTGGCTATGTGAGTTGTTGCAGCCTTTGCGAAAACGTTTCGGAACGTATATAGTTTCTGATTCATTTCAGTTTGTCAAGCAAATTAAAGATTTCAATGTATCTGATAAGCATCTGGTCTCTTTCGGTGTTACCTCTCTCTTCACAAATGTGCCGGTCGTTGAGACTATTGACTTCATATGTAAAGAAGCTGAAGATATATGCCCATTCCAACATCGGAATTGAGGAAATTGGTGCTTTTATGTACTAAAAATGTCCAATTCCAACTCGACGGGCGTCTATTCTGTCAAGTTGATGGTGTTGCAATGGGAAGCCCTTTGAGACCACTTTTCTCAGACTTATTCTTGTTAAGCCTAGAAGCCGGTACCTTGCAGCAACATTTACAAGAAACGGATGTATACCTAACATATGTTGATGACATTTTTATTGTCTGTGGAAGCAGATCAAAAGCTGAAGACATGTTGATAAAATTCAACTCATGCCATCCGAATCTCAATTTCACAGTAGAAGACGAGGAAAACGATACTATTAAATTCCTAGACGTTTTTCTAGCGAAAATCAATGATGGCACAATCGAAAGATATTTAGAAAGTCTTCATGGACAGGACAGTACATGCATTTCAAGAGCTTTGTTCCGATCCAGTGTAAAAAGATCTTAGTCGGAACACTGTTCAATAGAGCACGAAAAATTTGTTCTGACAGTACAATTGAGCATGAATTAAATCTCTGAAGGATATTTTATCTAAGAATGGATATCTTGAGAAGTTCATTAATAAATACTCTAAAGAAATTAGCCCCTGCAAAACAATCCAAACAGCGGCGAATAAACCTGTCTATATCACTTTACCATTCAAAGGAGATGATGTACAGGAAGTAGTCAAGCGAAGACTCGATAAAGCCATCAATAGAACTCATTATCCTGCAAAACTTGGTTTTGCTTAACACCACTAAGCGAGTGCTTCAACAATCTGGGAAAGACTAGTCGCCAATCCTGGACACTTCAAACTGCATATATCGGTTTGAGTGTGTTTGTGGAAGCCAATACACAGGTCGTACAAAAAAGCGATTGTCTACTCGCATGATGGAGCATTTGCCAAAATCGTTGAAAACAGCTGAGTGCAAAGTGCCAAAATCCTCAATAACAAAACATCTTGTGGATTACGGACATGATATCGACGCGGTCAAGTCATTCACCATTGTCAGCAAACAAAGAAACAAGAAGATGCTTGCAATTGCAGAGGCTTGTGCAATTTGAGTTTATAAACCAGGTCTGCGTACAAAAGGAGATGGTCGTGACTCTGAATCTACCATGGTAATACGTTCTGCTTATTATTCTACCTCTTCTTCTTCTTCTTCTTATACTTGATTGATTTAAAACTATCGTTTATCAGTAGCATTATCTTAACTCACTTCAACACTATTATTATTGTTTTTATTATAACTTATTATTATTGCTCCCTTGGGTTCCTAGTGGAACATAGGGCTTCAACTGCACGTCTCCACTTGCTTCCTCCTTCTTCTGCTGTGCTTTTCGCCTGCATCCATGTTAGTCCATATTCTTTCAACTCCTCTTCACACGATCTCCTCCATGTCACCCTTGCACTGACGTCCCACACGCCGCTTCCCTTTAGGGTTCCACTCGAGGGCTTAACGCGCGATGTCACCCAGCGGTCTCCTCAGCGAGTGTCCGATCCATCTCCACTTTCTCCCGCATATTTGTTGGGTGATTGGTTCTTGCTTTGTTTATTCCCAAAATTCCTTGTTGGTGATTCTTTCCGGCCATCTGATCTTCAATATAGAGCGAAGACAGCTGTTAATAAAGGTCTGCAACCTTTTGGAAATATTCTTTGTGACCCGCCCGCCAAGTTTCTGATCCGTATAGAAGAACTGACTTTACGTTTGTATTGAAAATCCGAATTTTGTTGGTGATGCTGAGTGACGAAGATTTCCAGATTGATTTCAGGCTGATGAATGTGTTTCTCGCCTTCCCGATTCTCGATCTGACATCCTTGTCCGTTCCTCCTCTAGTTGAAACAATGCTCCCTAGATAAGTGAATGAAGTAACCTCTTTCAAATCCCTCCCGTTGATGATGATTGGCGCTGGATGTTGCTGCCGTTGTTGTTGTTGGTTGGTTATTTTCATAACCTCCGTCTTGTCTATGTTTACCTGGAGTCCTGTCTTCGCCGGCTGCTTCTTCGACCAGTTTGTCGGTTTTCGCTTGTAAGTCTTCGATTGTGTGTGACATCAAACATAAATCATCCACGCGCGAAATCCAGGTCTTCTAGGTTCTTCACGTCGGTCCAGGATATTCCTGTCTTCTCGTTTCCCATTGTCTGACGCATAATCCAGTCTACCACAATTAGGAATAACATTGGTGATAGTAAAGCACCCTTGTCTGACTCCTGTGTTTACTCCAAACGCCTCGCTGAGTTTTCCGTTGTGGATCACTTGACATGTGCCGTTGTCGTACAGCTGTTGAATAAGGTTGATGAATATTTGGGGTACGCCATAGTACTCGAGTAATTTCCAAATTACTTCACGGTCAACGCTGTCGAAGGCCTTCTCAAAGTCTATAAAGTTGAGGTAGAGGTTTGATTGCCATTCCATGCTTTGTTCTGTGATGATGATGCGTAGAGTTGCAATTTGGTCAGTACATGATTTGCCTTTCCTGAATCCAGCTTGTTCTGGTCGGAGTTCTGTCTCCAGTGCGTCCTTTAATCTCTCCAGGATGATGCGACTCAGGATTTTACTTGGCGTCGATAGGAGCATGATTCCTCGCCAGTTCTTGCAGAGTGAGGCGTAAGTCGCCCTTCTTTGGTAGTTTCACGAGGTAACCTTTCCTCCAGTCAGTAGGCACCTTTCCCTCCTTCCAGACCTTTTGCAATAATGGAGTCAGCATGTCTGCTGTAGTCTCTGGGTCCGCTTTCAGTGCTTCAGGGGGTATTCCATCTGGTCCGGCTGCTTTTCCAGCTTTCAGAAGCTTGATTGCATTCAAGACTTCAGCTCTCGTTGGAGGATTGGTGTCAACTTGCAGTTGTGTGCGCGCTGTTGTTGGTATTTCTGGACGGGTTGCAGGTGATGGTCGGTTCAAGAGTCCTTTGAAGTGATCCGCCCATTGTTTAATCTGTTTTTCTTCCTTGGTAATTGGGTTCCCTTGGCTGTCTTTTATAGGTTTCGCTTGTGTTGGTCTCTTCCCGGATAGAGATTTGGTTATCTGATATAGTGTCCTCAGGTCCCTTTTGCCTGCTGCCTTTTCAGCTTCAGTGGCCAGGTTGTCGTAGA